TGCAGCAGGGCTGTCCAGTCCTGGTCCTGGAGGGGTCAGTGTGTCTGCAGGGAGGGCACGAGCTCTGTGCAAGAGCAGGGAGGGCACGAGGCAGTCACTGCACAGGCACTCTGGTTTTCCCATGAGTCTATGCAGGGAAGCGCAGAGAAGGTGTGGGGCACAAATACAGCTACCGCACAGCCACTGTGAGACCACGTTGCAGGTGTGAAAACACTGCCGTGAATTTACACAATTAAAATTTCATAGGGCAGCTCGTTACTGTGTTTTGCAGTAATTGTTCCAGTTGTTTGAGAGCTGTGTAACCGTGGGAGTGTTCATGTGTCTTGTTGCATATGCATGGCCATTGTCTTAAAATTCATCCTGTCCTTTTCTCAGTTTTAAACGTACATCTCTTATTCCTGCCTGAAGCTGTTTTTATTTTGGCAGTGTTTATCTGCTCGATTGCAGAATCTTCTCTGCGGCAGGACCCTCAGCCGTGGGTAATTCAACACGCAGGGAAAAGGCACTGCTAATGTCCTTCAGGTGCCCCTGGTGCTTGTTTAACCTGCCTGGTGCGGCCAGAATTCAGCGCAGGCCGCGGCCTCAGCTGCTGACAGCGGTCTGGTGAGCAAGTGAAATTCCTCCACCCCTGCCCCTCTTCGAAGTTACCAGTTCACGAACACAGGCCGCGCAGTTCTCCCCCGTGGCCTGAAGGGGGCGCCCTGCAGGGGAGAAGAGGCAGGTGGGCTCCCTCGCTCGGGAAGGGAGCTGTCTTGGGAAAGGAAGCAGCCCCCCCCTTCCCCCAGTCACCTCATCTCTCCCACACAGCTGGCTGTGGCTCCGTTCTCGCCTTTCGCGAGAGAAAAGCGAATCAGGACCACATAATCCAATCAATAATCTCCGGGGGAAGATGTGACACCTTCAACAATGCATCGCACAAACTCTATTGTTCGCCGGATCAGTCCCGCTTCACAGGAAAGCTCTCTCTCTCTCGGCCGCTAAGCTTTCGATTTGCAGGCCCTTCCCCAGCCCGCCGATTTTCGGACGCTGGTCCCGCCGGATCTTCCTCTCCGCAGCCTGGCAGTGTTTGTCCTTGCTGCCCTTTGACCTTTGACAGAGCCTGGACTTGGCACCTGTATGGACGGCTCTTTCTGTAACCACAGGAGACGCCGGTGCCTGTGCTGGTGCCCAGGTGGTGCTGAGATGAAAGCGACCACAATGGCCACAGTTTACGTTTGACAGCATCTCTCCCACCTCTGTGTGTGTGTGTGTGTCTGCGTGTGTGTGCGTGCACTACATTCACTGCTGAACCGGAGGGGTTGTGCAGAGAGCTGTCGAGCTGGGAGCTGCTGTTTCTCTACATGGTGGAACAGAGCCCTGCTCACTGTGTTTCCTGACCATGACAGTCATAGAGGATTGCAAGTGCGAGACTGC